TCAAGAAGATTATGAGACCACAGAGGAAAGTCACCTTCAATGCAAGGAGTGCCTAAGGGGAGTCACCAGGAGAAAAATTTCCTAAGCTTTCACAAAGAGCAACTTGGTCAAGGAATGGCTGTGACTTTTCTAGGTGACTGACACTGACAGAAGAGCCGTGAGGTGCTATGCATGGTTCTAAGATAACTCCTCAGAAGACCTAAGTGTCCTTAATAGGAAGTAAGGAACTGATTGTAGTTAATGCAGGTCTCATGTTAGCTTGGTCTTCAACCTCCTGCAGAAAAGTCTGGCCTCTGGAGGTACATTGCAATGTAAAATGTTGGATCTGGGGGAAGCTCGAATCACTAACATCCTCTGACAATTGCTGGCTTTGCTGGTAACTGACTCCTGTTATGAACTGATAGATTATGATGAGTTTAAATTGGAGTTCTCCTCAATGCTTGCCCACCATGAGGTGGCCACCCATGCTGGGAGTAAAAAAAAAAAAAAAAAAAAAAAAAGAGAGAGAGAGATTTTGGAAAGGGTTGAAGCTGAATACAAGTGCAGGTCTGTGGTGTGGCCTGGGCTTGACTGAACTGAGAATGAGGAGACCCCTCAAAGAACAAGATAGGCCACAGCTGAGGCCACCTGGAGATTTCCTGTATAGTTTTTTAAATTAGAATTATCTGTTGCTCTGTGGGTTCCTTCAAGCTCTCCCAGGAGCCTGCTCAGGTATTTTTTTTTTTTTTTTACCATTGTCCATTCAGTTCCTTGCTTGTTCTGATTAAATATGGGCTGCCTAATTACAGGTGGCTGGCTTGCTAGCAGAGTTATGAGCTCTAAAGAGTATTTCACTCTTCCTGCTGCCCTCAAGACAATGTCACTTGTCTCATTCTTTTGGTCCTTTGCTGTGCACTTGTTTGGGGACTGGAGATTTAGGGATAGGACCCAATAGAAAATTAACTTCCAGATAGGATAACTGTATGTTTCCTGAAAAGTTTACTGCATGTAAACTTTTCTTTATCTGTAGATGGAAGTGTTATGTTACCTATCAACAAATATATTGCTACCTTATCAACATATTATTACCATATCAACATATGCTACCTTATTAATATATTGAGGGGTATTAGAGTGATTTCTCAGAAGGCATGATTATACACCTCTTTATATCATTGTGAGTATTCTGCATAACTTTTCTAAGGTAGTACTTACAAGTGAAATTGGTGGATAATAAAGGAGGCCTCCATCTCCTTGCTAAGTACTATGTAATATGATTCTAGGTGTTTCTAGCAGTTCATTTGTTTTAGCCATGAATTCCTCACTGGATGCCTATTATTTCTGCTTGGCAGAGAATGGATTGTACAGGAAATTAGTGGTTTTGATCTGCAAAAAATTGCTGGAGTCAAACTGAAATAGATACATGCTAAAAAACTGTCAGGGTTTCATAGATTAAAAACTATTTACATAATTAGTTGAAGAATGAATTAATGCATTTGGAAGATTATTTAGGATATACACCTAGCTGAATTATATTAGATATTTATTTCTTTAATTTTATACAGGTACAAAATATCTGACTTACAGAATTTAATAAAAGTATATTTTTTATCTCATTGTTTCCATGAGGGAAATTTGGTTTTGATTGCTTCCAAAGCATAAACATCTTGGAAAATAGAAGTGAGAAGGAAAAGGTAACTTTTCTTTATGAGGCCAAGGAGCCAGAGAACAGTTTCAGAGCCTGAGAGGAAGGATCCAGGGACCAGATTTGGTTCATGGCTTCCAACTCACATGGCTGCAACAGATACATATAGAAGTGATCATACTAATATCCTACACATTTCTGAAGGCAAAAAGTTGTTAACAAATGAATCACCAGGCATTAGGGAATATATGACTTCTAGGAATATTAAAATACTGAAGAGCAGAGTGTCAATTTTGTGACAAGGGGACTATAGGGCAAGGGGAACTCAGAGTGTGAAGTCTTTAGGTGTCCCTGATTCTTCAGAAGGAAATGTTTAATTGGATTAGGAATTTGGTTCCATTTAAGCAATAATTGTCAACCCCATGCTTCACAATATGATCACTTTTAGAATTCAGCATTTTTATGAGTCTGAATGAGTAGCAAACTTGTCTTGGAGAATTGATGTTTGCTTTTCTTTATTCTGTTGCAGACCATTACTATCATTTAAATGTAATGTCTTCACTTTACACAGTAACTGTGGTCTTTTATGTTCACATACTGGGTTTCTAGGTGGAAAATTAATAGAGATAATAGTGAAAATCTTGAGAATGAAGTCTGCTGCCTCTCACATGGCCTTCCTACCCTCTATTCTGTTGTGTCCCATCCTGGCCTGGGCTCAGCATGTTTTCTGACATCAGGAGATTCTTTCATCCCTGGATGATAGAACTTGAATCCTGAAAACGTTTGCAGCCCATTATGGAAAGAGTCCACTGAGCCCTGAAACAAAATAAGGGCAGCCAAGAAATGACAGGGATAAACAAGAAATTTAGAGAAGACCTAACACCATTACTTCTCAAACTTTTTAATGAAATCAAATGGGAAATGGTACTTCCCAATTCATTTCTGGAAGCAAGCATGACCCTGATACCAAAACCAGAGAAGAATCCAAATAAGAAAGAGAATCACAGGCCATTCTGCCTAATGAACATTGAAGCAAAAATCCTCAATAAGATACTAGCAAACAGACTGCAGAACATCATCGAGAAGATTGTACATCATGATCAAGTGGAATTCTTCCCTGGGATGCAGGTGTGGTTCAACATACATAAATCCATACATATAATACACCGTATTGACAAATCCAAAAGCAAAAATCATTTGATCATTTCAATAGATGCAGAAAAAGATTTTGACAAAGTCCATCACCTATTCATAATAAAAACCCTATAAAAATTGGAAGAGATGACCTTTATCTGAATCTGATAAAAGCCTTTTATGATAAACCAACAGTTAACCTCATTCTAAGTGGACAAAAACTGAAAGCTTTCACTCTAAAATTAGGAATAAAACAAGCATATCCACGGTCTCCACTCTTATTCAATACAGTCCTGGAAACTACCTGGAGCAATTCGACAAGAGAAAGAAATAAAAGGAAAAAAGATAGGAAAGGAAAATCTTAAACTATCATTATTTGCAGAAAACATGATCCTCTATTTAGAAGACCCTAAAAAGACTTCTAGTTTAATAAGCAAATTCAGTAATGTAGCTGGTTACAAAGTCAACAGTCAATAATCAGTAGACTTCATATACAGGAATAAAAAACTCATGGAAAGAGAAATCAAGGAAACAATAACCTTTACAATAGCATCCAACAAAATGAAATACTTAGGAATCAATCTAACAAAGGATGTAAACGACCTCTACACTGAAAACTACAGTCCTCTCGAAAAGGAGATTGAAGAAGATATTATAAATTGGAGAGCTATCCCATAGTCTTTGGTAGGAAAATTCAATATAGTGAAATTGGCCATACTTCCAAAGCTATTGTACAGATTCAGGGCAATCCCAAACAAAATCCCAATAGCATATGTCAAAGAATTACACAAAATAAATCCTAAAATTCATCTGGAACCAGAAGAGACCTAGCATAGCAAAGGTGATCCTGGTAACAAAGAAGATAGGGTTCATCAAAATCCCTCACTTGAAATTACACTATAAAGGTATTGTGATAAAAAGGTGTGGTACTGACAAAAAACAAAACAAAACAAAACCAGACCCAAAGATCAAAGGAACAAATTAGAAGATGGAGAAACAACTCCAGACACAGTAAACCATCTTATCTTTGACAAAAGTGCCAAACACAATCACTGGAAGAAAGACAACCTCTTTAATAAATAGTGCTGGAAAAACAGGCTCTACACAGGCTGAATATTAGAACTGGACCCATATCTTTCAATGTGTATTAGGCTAGGATGAGAATAGATCAAAGATCTTACATGAAAACAGAAACATTAAATCTGCTGGAAGATAGAGTAAGTAAAACTCTTGAAGACATTGATGTAAGCAAAGACTTCATGCAGAAAACATGGATTGAACAGGAACAATCACAGAGAATTAAGTGGGATCTCACCCTAATTAAAAGCTTTTTAACATCAAGAGAAACCACCAACAGAGTGGAGAAACAACCCACAATGTGGGCGAAAATGTTTGCCAGCTGTTCCTCAGACAAAGTGTTACTATTGAGAGCACTGAAAACTCAAAAATTTCAGTCTTCCCAGATTTAAAGACCCAATCCAAAAATGTGCATTTGAGGTCAAATACACAGTTCTCAGATGAAGAAATAAAACAGCAAATAAATATGTGACAAAATGTTCTACATCACTCATCATTTAACAATTGTAAATTAAAACAACACTGAGATTTCACATTGCCCCAGAAAAAATGCCTACTGTCAAGAAATCAAGCAATAATGAATGCTAGAGGGGTAATGGGGGACAAAGGAACCCTTCTCCATTGTTGGTGGTAATGCAACCACTGTGGAAATCAGTGTGGAGATTCCACACAAACTAGGTCTACAGGTACCACTCAACTCAGCTATTCCCCTTCTGGGTATCTGCCCAAAAGAATAAAAATCATCATTCCACAATGATATATGTGCACCCATGTTTATAGCACCACAGTTTGTGGTAGCTAGATCTTGGATGGAATGCACGACCTGGAGCTTGTCAGGGAGGCTCTTATGCTGCTGAGGTAAAACCCCGGACCACTTTTTTTTTTTTTTTTTTATCTTTGAAATAAAATGGGTTTGGGGGAAAAAACAAGGGCTGAGGTAAAGCCCTTCAGTGCAAATACCCATCAGAGGAGCTGACGTCAACATTGCAGAAAACAGCCAGCCCCAGTAGTCTCCAGGATCTTTCATTGGGGATCCACAGTTATAGGGTAGGGTTTTTTTCCTGTAATTATTGGTGGGGAAGAGGAGCAGAAAAGCAGGAACCAATCAGTGCTGAAGAGGCGGGCTGTAAGAACTGTCCAATCAGCGGGGCTAAGGTAGGCGGTCTCTTCCGGTGTCATGGAGTCAGTTGCGAGTCTGGGGCAAAAAAAGGGAGAGCTAGATATTTGCTAGACCGCGATTTGTGGCTTCTGTGTGCTGTGGACTGCTTAGAAAGAACCTGGGAGACCTCCAAGCTACGGAATGGTGATGTTATGGGATGGGAGCAGTGAAATGGGGTGGAATCAGGTTGAGACCAGTTAGAAGTGGTGAGAAGCAGCTGTGCGGTGTAGAGCCTGCATGCTTAGCCTCAGACTCTGAGGTCCTCTAGGGCTAGCAGTGATTCATCCTCTGTCCCTTTTACCTCTCGCTGGGGCCAGGACAGTTCTGGGTCCGGAGAATGCTGTCATCACTGTGACACCACCAGGCCACAATGCCATTTTTGAAATCGCCTGCTGCCCTGCTCCTCCAACAGTCTGGGCACAGGAAGGGACATGGGGAGACCCTGATTCCGATGTAGTTTCGAGCTGCATGCAGCTGTAGTAAGCTAGGTCTCTGCTCTCATTCCTGTCAGCAACAGATCTGGAAGCCAGAACTTTATAAATGTCTGTGATACAGAACCTCATAGCCACAACTGTTCTCCTTAAACTTGTGCTTTTTATGTATTTATAGTGATCACCTAAATTTATACAATGTTCTCATGTTTCCATGCTCATGAAAGGTGATGGCAAAGGTCTTGAGAATTCAAAGATGTGTAGTGATGTGCCTCAGTGGAGGAAGGCTTCCCAAACACCTGGTAAATTCCTGTTCATCATACAGAATAATGCAAAAGAATTTGTGAACACAATTATTTAGGTGACACCTAAAATTAAGGCATTTGCATGGACATATACACGTGATATTCTTCTGAATGGAAAGGAATACGGGTGTCATCTCTGAATTAACAGCTCATTTAACAGCTTGGCTGATCATAGACATTGTTTAAATATGGAAATGCTGTGCAATGGCCTTTACTAAGTGGTGGAAAGGAGAAGCCCTAAATAGAAATTGTGCAGGGATATCAGTATTTAGGCATGAAGGGTTTTCTGCTTAGGGTGGATCATAGGAGCATGGAAAGGATATAGAAGCGACTGGCAGGATGCAGGGTGCCAGTAGCAGGACTTACAGCAGAGAGGATTTTCACTGAAAGTCAGTTAGTTCTTAGGGTAAGCATGAAGTTAAAGTTGGCTTCTAATTTCTTCCTTGAGAAGAATAACACCAGCTCTGTCAACAATCAGTATTCCACATCCTTGTCAACCCTTTTCTGTGTTCCATACTTGAGATCTAATTTTGATTTTCTCTTATTATGCCCCAGTGTCATGAAAGTGCAATTTGAATTTTTTTTTATTTAAGAGGAAAAAGAGAAAAACACAAAACAAAACAAAGCGGTGTAAGGGTACACATAATACAGAACTACAAAACATAACAGTAAGAAATCACCTGTTAATAGATTACATATTATCATCTTGAAAATAGTTGCTAAAATCACAGTATCAAAGAATACAAAGTGGACATTCAAACAGGGAGACTGCAAACAGCTGTGTTGAATGATCCAAAAACATTGATATAGTCAGCTATTTATTAACACCCCTAAACACACTTGCTGTTATATCCGTTAGAGCTCTTTTTCTTTTTTTTTCTTTTTTTTCCCTCTCTTTTTTACAACAAAATTTACACATTTTGGATTTTATTACTCCTTAGTGCTTATTACTTGTTTTTTTGGGGGGGGGAGAGAATACAGTCAAATATGGCAAAACAAAGCTGTCAGTCAAAACCAAGGATAGACATAGCACATGGTGTAGAACAGAGTACAAGGTTATCAACAATGGTTATCAACGTTGTCTCTTGTTTCCTTAAAAAGAATTGTCTATCTCATTAGATATTATAAAGTTGGACAAAACAGTAGAGAACAAGACCAATAAAACTTAGGCATTGTAAACATTACAGGACTTCCAAAGAAGACAATAGTCAAACCAGAATGGGTATCTTAGTGAATCTTATTGCCTTCAAAGTAGTTGCCTATGTCTTCAAACTTGATACTATCATATAGAATGGAACAGAGTCTAATCAGTCAAAACAAGATCGTGGGAGTATTACAGGACTTCAAAACAAGTTAATAGGAAATCAAAAAGAGTTACTATTTATATATCCTAATTATTTAAATTTTTTCTTTAATTAAGACAAACATAAGAAATGACTAATTTTTTTAAAAGAATAAGGGGGAGATTGAGATAAAACAGGACATAACAATATAACAATAGAGGTCAAAGCATGACTGTTTCAGCAACCTAGTACTTCACCACCATATAACCCGACTTAATAGTAGTTACCATAGTGTCTGTCTTTTTCCTTGAAATATTTGGATAAAACTTCATATACTCTAGCTTCAAATATTTCCATATCAAGAAGCCCAGAATAAAGCCTTTCTAATTAATGAGTGAAAACTTTATAAGGCTTCAAGGCCACCTAATGGGGAATCATGATTACCACATATTTTTATATATTTGAATCATTACATTAGGGAAACTATTCGGTATTCACACATGCGAGATTGATTTATTTCACTTATGAGTATGGTCTCAAGCTGCGCCCATTTATTGATAGATATCTCAATGTGATCCTTCTTTATAGCTGAATAATACTCCATTTTATAGAAATACCACCACTTTTTTATCCATTCCTCAGTTGATGGACACTTGGGTTGTATCCAAGATCTGGCGATTACAAATTGTGCTGCTATAAACATAGGTGCACATATATCACTGTGCTATGATGCTTTCAGTTCTTCTGGGAATATGCCTAGAAGTGGAATAGCTGGAATAAATGGGATTTCCAGTCCCAACTTTTTGAGAAATCTCCAGACAGATCTCCACAAAGGCTGTACCAGTCTACACTCCCACCAGCAGTGCAGGAGAGTTCCTTTTTCCCCACAGCCTCTCTAGCATTTGTTGTTGGTTTTCTTGATCCTGGCCATTCTTTCAGGAGTGAGATGGTATCTCAGTGTCATTTTAATTTGCATTTCTCTAATGACCAATGATGTTGAGCATTTTTTCATGTATTTATCTGCCATTTGCATTTCTTCATCTGAGAATTGCGTATTCATCTCAGATGCCCATTTTTGGATTGGATCTTTGAATTTTGGAGGTCTGAGTTTCTTTAATTCTTTATATGTTTTAGACAAGAGGCCCTTGTCTGAGAGAAAGTTCACTAAAATCTTTTCCCAGTTTGTGGGTTTTCTTTTCACTATGCTGGAGATTTCTTTTGACATGCAGAAACTTTTTAATAAGAAGTGGTCCCAGTTATTGATTCTGGGAAGTATTTCCCGTGCGATTTGAGTCCTGTTCATGAATTCTTTACCTACTCCTATGTCTCCAAGGTTTCTACCTAATTTGTCTTCCAATAGATTTAGTGTTTCTGTTTTAATACTCAGATCTTTGACCCATTTAGATTTTAATTTAGTACATGGTGATAGACATGGGTCTAGCTTTAGTTTTCGGCAAATGGAGAGCCAGCTTTTCCAGCACCATTTATTAAAGAGACTGTCGTTCTTCCCGTGAACCTGCTTGGCTCCTTTATCAAAGATAAGGTGGTTGAGTGTGTTTGTAGTTGTGGTTATATCTTATAATCTATTCCACTGATCTTCGGCTCTGTTTTGATTCCAATACCATGTTGATTTTATTACTGCTGCTTTGTAGTATAACTTCAAGTCAGGGATTGTGATGCCTCCTGCTTTGTCTTTGCTGCTTAGAATTGCCTTTGTGATTCTAGGTCTCTTCTGGTTCCAGATGAAATTTAGGAGTGATTTCTCTAGATCTATAAGGTATGTTGATGGTATTTCTATTGGGATTGCATTGAATCTGTATAACAGTTTTGAGAGAATGGCCATTTTCACAATGTTTGTTCTTCCTATCCATGAGCAAGGGATGTCTTTCCATTTTCTGAGATCATCTTCAATTTCCTTTTTCAGTGTATTATAATTTTCACTGTATAAGTCTTTCACTTCTGTCGTAAGAGTAATTCCTAAATATTTCATTTTTTTGCTTGCTAATGTGAAGAGTGCAGTTTCTCTTATTTCCCTCTCTGTGATTTTGTTGTTCATGTATAGGAATGCTATTGATTTCTGAGTATTGATTTTGTATCCAGCCACATTACTGAATTTATTTATTGTATCTAAGAGTCTTTCAATGGAGTTTAGGGGGTCTTCTATGTAGAGTATCATGTCATCTGCAAACAATGATAATTTAACTTCTTCTTTTCCTATCTTTACCCCTTTTATTTCTCTTTCTTGCCTAATTGCTCTGGCTAGTACTTCCAGTACTATATTAAATAGGAGTGGTGATAAAGGACATCCTTGTCTTGTGCCCGATTTTAAAGTAAAGGCTTTCAATTTTTGGCCATTTAGTATGATGCTGGCTGTTGGTTTGTCATAAATGGCCTTTATTATATTGAGGTAAAGACCATTTATTCCAATTTTCTGTAAAGTTCTTATCATGAATAAGTGTTGGACCTTATCGAAGGCTTTTTCTGCATCAATAGAAATGATCATGTGATTCTTATTTTTGGCTTTATTGATATGGTGGATTACATTTATTGATTTACATATATTGAACCATCCTTGCATTCCTGGGATGAATCCCACTTGGTCATGGTGTATAATCTTCTTGATGATTTGCTGGATCCTATTTGCCAATATTTTATTGAGGATTTTTGCATCTGTGTTCATTAGGGAGATTGGTCTATAGTTCTCTTTTATAGTTGGGTCTTTCTCAGGTTTTGGTACTAGAGTAATATTTGCTTCCAGGAATGACTTAGGAAGGATTGCTTCCCTTTCAATTTCATTGAATAGTTTGAGGAGTGTCGGCATTAGGTCTTCTTTGTATTTCTTGTAGAATTCTGCAGTGAATCCATCTGGGCCTGGGCTCTTCTTGGTGGGTAAAGACTTAATTACATTTTCAATTTCATTAGCAGAGATTGGGTTATTCAACAGTTTTACATCCCCTTGATCTAGCTTTGGTACTTCATATGCTTCTAAGAATCTGTCTATTTCTTCTGTGTTATCAAACTTTTGAGAGTAGAGGTTTTCGAAATAGGTGTTGATGATCTTCTGTATTTCTATTGGGTCTGTAGTGATTTCTCCTTTTTCATTTCTTATTGCATGAATTTGAGCTTTTTCTTCCCTTTTTTAAATAAGGTTGGCTAGAGGCTTATCGATTTTATTTATTCTTTCAAAGAACCAACTCTTTGATTCGTTGATTCTTTGGATTGTTTTCTTAGTCTCTATTGCATTGATTTCTGCTCTGATTTTTATAATTTCCTCTCTTTTGGTTTTGGGCTTGACTTGCTCTTCTTTTTCTAGCTGTTTGAGGCATAGCATCAAGTTATTTATTTGTATTCGTTCTGTTTTCCTGATGTGGGAACTCAGTGCAATAAATTTTCCTCTCAGGACGGCTTTCATTGCATCCCACAGATTCCGGTAAGTTGTATCTGCATTTTCATTTTCTTTTAGGTATTGTTTAATTTCTTCTTTAATTTCTTCTGTGACCCACTGATTACTCAAGAGTGTGTTATTCAGTTTCCATGTGTTTGTGGAATTTTTGCAGTATCTTTTATCATTAATTTCTAATTTCAGAGCACTATGATCCGATAATATGCAAGGGATGATTTCAACTCTTTTGCATTTGCTTAAATATGTTCTGTGAGCTAATATATGGTCTATTTTAGAAAATGATCCATGTACTGCTGAGAAGAATGTGTATTCTGATGTTGTTGGGTGGAACATTCTGTATATGTCTATCAAACCCATTTGTTCACAGGTATGATTCAGTTCTGTTATTTCTTTGCTCATTTTCTGTCTGGTTGATCTGTCCCTTGGTGTCAGTGGTGTATTAAGGTCTCCTGTTACAATTGTGTTACTGATAATTTGAGTTTTCATTTCTGTTAATAATTGTTTTATATAACTGGGTGCTCTGGAGTTTGGTGCGTATATATTTAAGATAGTTATGTCTTCCTCTTGGACTTTTCCCCTTACGAGTATGTAGTGACCTTCTTTGTCCTTTATGGTCATTGTTGGTTTAAAGTTCACATTGTCTGCAAACAGAATGGCTACTCCTGCCTTTTTTTGGATTCCTGCTGCATGAAGAATTGTTTTCCATCCTTTGACTTTCAGTCTGTGAGTGTCCTTCTGGGTTAGATGAGTTTCCTGTAAACAGCATATGGTTGGATTTTGTTTCTTGATCCATTCTGCTAGTCTGTTTCTTTTGATTGGTGCATTGAGACCATTTACATTAATGGTTATTACTGTTAAATGCTGGTTAATTGTAGGAATGTTATCTCTCTGCTGTTGCATCTTTATCTTTCTGTTCTGTTTAATTATTTGCTTTGCTTAGTGGTTTTTTCCTTTGCGTATCTAAACTGTCTTTCAATATTTTTTGCAGGGTTGGTTTGGTGTTCATGAAGTTCTTCAGCTGTTCTTTGTCATGGAAGTATCGTATTACACCATCTATTTTGAATGATAGTTTTGCAGGATATATCAGTCTTGGTTGGAAATCATTTTGCTTTAGGATCTGGAATACTTCACGCCATGCTCTTCTTGACTTTACCGTTTGTGCTGAGAAGTCTGCTGTGATTCTGATAGGTTTTCCTTTATAAGTGATCTGTCTTTTCTCTCTGACAGCTTTTAATAATCTATTCTTGTGTTGGATTTCTGGGATGGTGATTATTATATGTCTGGGTGTAGTTTCATTTTGGTTATGACTGTTTGGAGTTCTATATGCTTCACTGATCCTGATGTCAGTTTCTGATCTCATGCTTGGGAAATTTTCAGCTATTACTTCTCTAAATATCCTCCTGACATCCTTCATGTTGTCTCCCTCTCTTTCATTAATCCCTATCATTCTTCTTTGCATCGTCTTGCAGTTGTTGAATTGTTGTTTCCTGATTCCTTGTTATTTTCAAAAGATCTTTCCTTTCCTGTTCACTAGCTGCAATTCTGTCTTCAAGGTCTGAAATTCTATCTTCACTTTCATTAAGGTGGTTTTTACAACTTTCAGTGGAGTTTTTTATTTCCTGTATATCTCTATGCATCTGCATTATGTATTCTGTTTGTTTCTTATATTGCTCGTCTAAGGATTCTATCTTTTTGTTTAGTTCCTCCAATTTTTTATCTGTGTTTTCTTTAGATATATTTAGAATCTCTTTCATTTCTTTTATCATTTCTTCTTTTATCTGGGAGATTATTTTGAGTTTGAATTTCTTTAAAGCTTCCTGGAGTTGCTTGTCAATTTCAGTAGCTATTGTGTCTGATATATGAGGTGTGTGGGATATATTTTCTTCTATATACATCACTCCTAGGGTTTCTTGAGATGGGCTGGATGTTTGAGGTTGTAATTTGGTCTTTTGTTTTGTCATTTTCCTATATTTCTGTGTTTCAAGTGTTATTTGAAAGCTTCCTCAGGATCTGTTGAAAATCCCCTTCTATGTTTGGAGCTACTGAGACTCTGGCACCGCGCTCCCCCAAGCCATTGGGCCTACAGAACCAGTGGCCCTCCTCTTCCTGCTCAGAACTCCGCAGTTCCAGACAAGCTGGGCCTCAGGGACACTGTGCACCCACCTAGTGCAATTTGAATTTTTGATTTGGCCTTTCACCCAGATGAACTACCACTATGATGTCCTGTGATTTATTCTAGGGCAAAACTCTTTCAAGTACATCCTTCAGTTTGAATGAAGAAATGAAAATAAAGAATTTTGGCTATGTGTCTTCTTTCATGCATGGTGGTAAACAATTCCCAAGACAAGATTTTAGTCATTTTTTAATGTATTGTAGATATAAACAAAACTACAGATTAGTTCTCTTTCAGAAAACAGAAGCAGCACTTAAAGTCACCTATAAAGCCCTTCAGTGCAAATGTCCCTTAAGAGGTGAGATCAACACTGTAGAATACAACCCACTATTGATTTCTTTGACTTCAAGAAAGAGAAAAATTTATACTGGTATTGCTGTAGGGGAATGAAACTCCTTATCTACTCTGTCTGGTATGAGTTGTATTGTCTGAATTCAAAAAATAAATTTTAAGAACAACAGAGGTCATGAGTAGAATATACTTTTTGTGAGAAAGAAAGTAGTCTGAGAGAAAAGGGGTCATGAGTGGTTTGGCCAAGACTGTCCTTTCCAGGATGTTTATAGAGTAAAATCATGTGATGAGATTTGTTTAAGTTGGGGACAACTGGGAACTCACAACACAGATGGGCATAAAATGGGACAGAACTATGGTAGCCAATAAAATTAATAGTTCAGATAAACTTGATTAAATTGGGAACAAATGGGGAAACGAGTCTCATAGAAAGCAGGCATTCTTAGGCAGCAATGACTCTTTCCTTAGGAGGTTGGGAGGCTGACTCCTGACTTCCTCAGGATGATAGGAACTATTTAGAATATCAAGCCTTAGGATATGGATGAATTTGCTTCATCTGTTTTGAGGCTTGGCCCATAGCAGGAGGTGTACATTTTCTCCATAGTTGCAAGGTATCTGCACTTCTGCATGGGCTCCTTAGAGGACCTAACCCTTTCTCACTGCCAATATTTAACTAACTCAGCTTCCCATAACAGTATTTTTCAGAAAATTGAATACAAATGTCTTGTGCTCTGGGTGAATGATCTGGGGATGACAGTGTACAATGTATATGCCAATGTTGCTTTCTGATTGACATGTTTTGAAATTCAGTTTTAGTTTACTTTTTCTTTTTATCCTTGAGATAAAATGGGTTTGGAAATAAAAAGCCTGAGGTAACGCTCTTCGGTAGAAATAATGCACGGTGGAGGTGAGATCACCACTGTAGAAGACAGCCAACTCCAGAAATCTCTGCACTACAGTCTATCATTTGGGATAGTCTCTTGCAGGGAGGGGGTCATTTCCCAATTTATTCTTGACTCAGAAGGAGGGCCATGGAGCAGTAGTCAATCAGTGCTGAAGAGGTGGGCTATTAGAACTGTCCAATTCAGAGGGACATGGCAGGTGGTCTCTTGGGTCTCTTCCAGTGTCTAGGCATTATTTACCTATTCTGAGCACAAAACCGGGAGCAGAATGGTTGCTGGATCTCATTTAGTGGTTTTGATGTCCTGTGGCCTGATTAGCAAAGAACCTGGTAGACCCTCTAGCAATGGAATGGTGAGGCTGTAGAGGGGATCCCAGAAATAGGGTGCAATTGGGAAAAACCAGTTACAAGGGGTTAAAAGCAGTTCTGGTGTCTGGAGCCTCAGGTATTTAGTTAGCTTCAGCTCCTGAGGTCCTCCAGCATTGGCCATGAGTCATCCACTGTCCCTTTTGACTCTTGCTAGGGGCAAGGGTGATTCTGGGTCCCCAGAAACCTGATTTCACTATGAGAGCAACAGACTCTAGTATCATCTTTGAAATTCTCTACTGCCCTGGCACCTCCACAATAGTGGGCAGGGTAGGGAGCTTGGGGAGACCCTGACTCAGATGCATTTTGTTGCTGGAGCAGCAGTGCTGAGCTTGGTCTCTGCTCTCATTCCAGGGAAGAGCATCTCTTAAGGGTGTGAAGTTTATTAATGTCTGTAATGCAGGGCCTCATAGCCACAAAGGCTCTCCTTATACTTGTGCTTTTTTGTATTTTTAGTGATCGCCTAAGTTTATAGTATGTTTTCATATTTCCTTCCTCATGACAGGTGTTGGCAAAGGTCCTGAGTATTCAGAGATGTGTAGTGATGTGCCTCAGTGGAGGAAGGCTTCCCAAACACTTGGTGAACTCCTGTTTATCATACAGAACCACCCAAAATCTTCTGAATATACTTAATTATTTATGCTGCTCACAGACTAGGTTTGTGAGAACAGACATAGTGTTTTGAATTTTGAGAAAAATGAAGTAGATATGAAAGTGTTAGCAAGGGCAAGGTAAAATGTGCTTGCCAAGGACAAATTCCAAAATGGGATGCCTGTTAAATCCTTATTGAAAACAGCCTAAATTTAGTGATTTGCATGGGCATATACACTTGATGTCCTTCTGAATGGAAAGGAATATGGGTGTCATTGCTGATTTAATAGCTTAGTTGATCATAGACATTGTTTAAATATGGAAATGCTCTGCAATGGACTTTACTAGATGGTGTAAAGGAAATGCCTTAAATAGAAATTGTGCAGGGATATAAATAGTTAGGCATGAAGGGTTTTCTGCTTAGGGTGGATCAGAGGAGCATTGAAAGGATGTGGAAGTGATTGGTGTGATGCAGGGTGCCAATAGCAGGACATACCACAGAGAGTGTCCTCACTGAAATTCAGGTCTTAGGGTAAGCATGAAGTTCATGTTGGCTTATGATTTCTTCCTTGAGGTAAATAACACCAGCTCTGGCAACAATCAGTTTTCCACATCCCTGTCAACCCATGAATTTTGTGTTCCATACTTGATATCTAATTTTGATTTTCTCTGATTATGCCCCAGTGTCATGAAGGTGAATTTTGAATTTTTTTTTTAAAACATGGATTGACCTCATGACCTCATGCCTTCCAGGCAGGCTTTCATGCTACTGAGCTAACTAGACAGCAATGTGTTTTCTGTATACTATGGAAGATATCAACATTGTTCCTCAGAAAGTATTGAATGTTGGAATTTTACTATATTATATGGCTATAATTTTTGAAAACAAACCAAAAGTGTCTTATGCAGTCACTTTTCAAGTTTCATTTTGTGAGGCGTTTCAGTCAGGGTCTCTCTATTTCAGACAGCTCTGTAACTAAGACTGGCCTCAAACTCAAGGCAGTTCTCCTGCATAAGCGTCCCAAGATATATTTCTTATATCTGAGTTGAAGGTGATCACTTGGTGACACTGAGCTATACCTCTAATTTGCAGCTTGGCCCTGGTTTCCTTGTTTACATAATGTTTACATACAGCAGTTTCCCATGAACATTTGAGTTACTATTTATGTACCATATTTGATGTTATTTATGTTTTGTTCTGTGAAACCAAATTCAAAATGCTGCTCAAGTATATTAAGAACAAAAGGACTCAGTGGCCTAAATGAGATTTGAAGAGATATCATCAGTAGTCTATCAAAGAGATATTTGTCTGCCTCTGTACTTGTGAATGCTAGTCCTGCAGGCTCCCACTGTGAGCTCTGCTTTAGAGACAGTGCACAGGGACTTTTGCAGGGACTAAGCACAAAAATCAGTGCTCATTTTTAGCTATTACATTAGCAATAAGTTGCAATCTAGCATCAAAATTACTGTGTCAAAAAGTGTGTATATACACAAAATTAATGACCAAGACATGGAAATAAGATTTGTTTAGTTTAGTTTTGTTTTATTGAGACAGGCTTTCACTATGTATATCAGCTGTATTTGGACCCCACATGGATCCTAGAATTGTCCTGACCTCATAGCAGCCCTCCTGTCTCAGCTTGTTTATGCTGGGATTAAAGATATTTATGACCACACTTTGCTTTTGATTCAGATTTTTATGAGAGTATTTAATCCCAGGCTTGAGTTTCAACCTTCCTTTGAGAAATATATGTATGATCCTTTAGGAGGCAGTGAGCTTTGAGGATGTGGCTGTGAACTTCTGCAGTGAGGAGTGGGCTTTGCTGAGTCCATCCCAAAAGAAGCTCTACAGAAATGTGATGGAGGAAACATTTAGGAACATGGTGACTATAGGTAAGGATGCTATCTGATTGTCTTTCATGCTATCAGAGAATATTTTTTGTTGGTCATTAGTGCTCTTTCATTATAATGAATGTGAATATATTTTGAGAAGTAGCTCAGACCTGCATTATATCATAAATCTAATCAAAGTTTATTAATTTGCATGTATTACTAAAAGGAATCCTGGTATTAAGGAGGACTTAGGGATAACCAGAAAGTTGAAAAAGAATGCAAAATTTACTGGAGATATTTAAGGTAATTTGCACTCACATGGAGCAGAGATGTTCCTCAGGAGTTAGTTTGTGAGTAGAAAATTGACAGCCAAAGAATTGAGGCACCATTCAATGTAATATCAGTAATATTCTCCAAAGATGTATAAGCTAGGGCAAGTATAATCAGAAAGTTACATCATGAAAATGTATGAAATTTCATATAGATGTGTATTGAAAGCATACACTTTGAGTTTTGATAGGATCCTGCTCTCAGTTTACCTACCCATGTATACATGTGAATACAACACATTCAGTGATCAAAAATTGCTAAGATTGCAGCAGAATTTGAAACATAAATGAATGCTCATGTTTCCAAGCCATTCTCAAGGGAATCAATCCATTCTGATTAAAATTCTTAGTAGAATGGTGTAATGTTAAGTGAAGTCACTCTGAAAATCAGTATGCAATTGTCTCTAGAAGTTGATCCCCTCATATTCTCCTGAATTATATTTTCAAAAGAGTCAAAATTGACATAAAATACAGATAGATGCTTAGTCATACACAAAGCAGATCAAGTTATAACAGATGAGGCCTTGAAGCAACTTAGCTATCTATCACTGGATTTGTGGAGAAGGAAAATGTTAATAGACTCTGTATGATTGTGCATTCATGTACACCAGCACTCTAGGAATCTGATGGCAGAATGGCAAATTCAAATTCAAACTTAACAGCTTAATCACCAGTGAAAATCCCTTAAAATAAAGAAGCTAGAGATTTGGTGCTGATACCTGTAGCTGATTTCAATTATGGAAAACAAAACAAAACAAAAATAAATGCTATATAATCAGTGAAAAATAAATAATGTAATGTCATTTGCCATAAAAAATAGGTGGTTGTTCCTCCCATCAAGTTCAGTGAATTAGTTCAGCTACAAAATGTAAAAGGTCACAGGGTTTCTTTTAGATGACAAACCAAAATATAAATTGTGGGGTCAAATGCAGGAGACTTGATACAGAAAAGTAAGCCTGAACATTTGGATAAGGGAAGTACAGGTTAAGGAAAGAAAGGAGATGGTGATGGGGGAAAAATATCAGAATGATCAATATGTGATACACATATATACCCATGCCCAAGGTGAAGCTAAATGTTTTGCATTTCAAAATATACCAAATTTTAAGATTACCAAATGTATACCACTCTTTTGGGAATGGTTGTTTTCAACATATCTTGCAAGGCATTCCCTTCCTTCATTGTCAGAATTTCTTACCTGGCATCAAAACAGAACTTGTCATTAATGCAGTCATTAGTACAGAGACACATTTAAATGTGATTTTTTTTCTGTTTTTAAATTTTACTTAAGGAAAGACTAAACAAAACAGAAAATGGGTAGAAATTATACTACTTTCAAAGAAAAAAATAAACAGTAAATAATAACTAGTTGATGATTACATATTATCCACTTAAAAATAGTTGCTCAGACACAAAATTGAAACATATAAAGTGGGGATTCAAACAGCCAGACTGCAAACAGTTTTGTTCAAATATCCAACAAAAATTTAGTAATATAGTTATTAATCCTATATGTGATTTATTTCTTTACAGAAATGACAAGGTAGGGAGATGATGGGGACACACATCTTGGAATCTGTATAAAAAGTATTTCTTTATACTCCTGAAGATAATATGGTTGTGAAAGAAACAGACACACTCTGATATTCAGATCCATGAAAAATATCACAATAGAGGCAAACCTATTTATGTAAGCACTGTGGGAAAGATTTTACCAAATGTTTATATTGTAAGAAACAGGAAAAATTCACACTGGAGAGAAAAACCTATGTATGTAAGCAATGTGGGAAAACTTTTACCACATGTGGAGATTTTAAGAAACAGGAAAGACTTCACACTGGAGAGAAACCCTATGTATGTAATTTATGTGGGAAAACTTTTACCACAGGTGGAGATTGTAAGAATCATGAAAGAATTCACACTGGAGAGAAACCCTATGTATGTAAGCAATGTGGGAAATGTTTTGCCACACATGGATATTGTAACCAACATGAAAGAATTCACACTGCAGAAAAATACTATGTATGTAAGCAATGTGGGAAAGGTTTCACCACACGTGGACACTTTAAGGAACATGAAAGAATTCACACTGGAGAGAAACACTATGTATGTAAGCAATGTGGGAAAGCTTTTACCACACATAGACACTGTAAGCAACATGAAAGAATTCACACTGGAGAGAAACCTTATGTATGTAAGCAATGTGGTAAAGGTTTTACCACACTTAGACAGTGTAAGGAACATGAAAGAATTCACACCGGAGAGAAACCTTATGTATGTAAACAATGTGGTAAAGGTTTTACCACACTTAGACAGTGTAAGGAACATGAAAGAATTCACACTGGAGAGAAACCCTATGTATGTAAACAATGTGGGAAAGCTTTTACCACACGTAGACAGTGTAAACAACATGAAAGAATTCACACTGGAGAGAAACCCTATGTATGTATGCAATGTGGGAAAGCTTTTACCACACTTTCATACTGTAAGCAACATGAAACACTTCACACTGGAGAGAAACCTTGGATTTGTAAGCATTGTGGGAAAGCTTTTACCACACTTCCATACTGTAAGCAACATGAAAGAATTCACACTGAAGAGAAACCCTATGTATGTAAGCAATGTGGGAAAAGTTTTGCCACATGTAGACAGTGTAAGCAACATGAAAGCATTCACACTGGAGAGAAACACTATATATGTAAGCAATGTGGGAAAGCTTTTGCCACACGTAAACACTGTAAGCAACATGAAAGAATTCACACTGGAGAGAAACCTTATATATGTAAGCAATGTGGGAAAGGTTTTACGACATGTGGAGATTGTAAGAATCATGAAAGAATTCACACTGGAGAGAAACCCTATGTATGTAAGCAATGTGGGAAAGCTTTTACCCAACGTGGAAATTGTAAGACACATGAAAGAATTCACAGTGGAGAAAAACCCTATGTATGTCAGCAATGTGGGAAAGCTTGTATGCAAGGTGAACATTGTAAGCAACATGAAAGTTCACACTTGAGATAAACCCAGTGTATGTAAGCACTGTGAGAAAGCATTCAACACATGTATATATTGTGTAATGCATGAAAACTTAACACTGCACAGAAACCATCTAAGAAATGTGGGAAAGCTTTCAGCAGAAATTCTCATTGTCAAACCCATGAAAATGTTCACACTTGGCAGAAAAACTATGCATGTAATGAATGTGAGAATGTTTTCACCACATAAGGATACTGTAAAATACATCAAAGTCTTCACACTGGGGTGAAACCCTATGTATGTAAGCAATGTGGCATAGGTTGTACCACATACAGTCATTGGAGAACACATGAAAGAATTCACACTGGGAAGAAACACTGGCTATGTAAGCATTGTGGGGACACTTTCAGGAGCCAGAGTGAAAGTGAAACACATGAAGAAACTGTCACTGGAGATTAATCCTATGCATTATGGAAATCCTCTCAGCACACATGATGATTGTTATATATTTGAAAGCTCACTGGGCAGAAATCCTATGTGGACTAGTAATGTGAGAAATATGCCAGTCCACACACTTTGTGAGATACATAGAAAAAGCCTCATTGGTCAGACTGTTTAGATCTATGTTTAGTTTAAAAATACCAAGGAACCCAGAAGAAATAATCAATATAAATTTTGATGTCAATATTTCTTCATAAATTTTCCAGAAATGACAAATCTGAAGTGGAGCTCTCCTCAAATACATATGTGGTATGGTTTTTAGTTAATCACTTGTGCCTATCTAGACATTTTAAAGTGCATTTGTACTTCAACATGGAATATTTTAATTAAAGATAGTAAACTGAAATGTACTTTTCACTTTCTAGAATGGGTCTTTTCTATGTACTTAGCATTTGTCTTTAAAACTTAATTTTTGTATTTTTTTGTGAATTGTAATTTTAACACTGCATTTGTTCTAATCCTTTGATGTACATGCTTCATTTTCTGTCATAAATGATGTTTCTGAAATTGTTGCTGTATTTGACATTAAGATAAACATTTATGGAAGCTCAGAATATGCGTTTTTGACAAAGTTGTGTTCTTTTCACATAACTTGTACATTAATGGATGTTAAGTTTTTCATGTTGTGATGAGATACTGCTTATATCCTAACATTACTGGATATCATACTATGTACATTATGTTGCCAGTTTTTGTTTTTCACTGGAGCAGATATTTGTCATTTAAGTAAATCTTTGTTTTTCTAACCATCAGAATTTTACCTGTTATTTTTATATTGCATCTTTACTTTGCTATTAGTTTTCCCCACATGTACCAAAAGTAAGCCATACCACTGTGAATTTCTGATTGCCCCAGACTGACAGAACCATAACTTGTATCTAGAAGCACATCACAAATTATATTAATGTCTCCAGAAAGTATGAAATGTGTTATGATTTATGAGTAACCATACTTTGAAAGGAATTTTTCTTAACTGTGGAGTTCATATGGGAAAAAGGATGCTACTCTATGTATCATACAAATGCCTTTATTTTATTTCTTGAGGCTGTGATCCCATTATATATTTTGTAATTATTACTGCTTTTCCCTGTGAAACTTAACTAATGTCATGAAGGAAAAAATAAGATTTTAATTGTCAGTACTTTAAAAAAGGAAATTTGCTAAATTATGAGTCAGATTGTGTTCTGTTTTACTGAATTGTGAATTTACACAATGGCATGTCTCACTGTTCATCAGGACCACTGCCTGATGTTTGTGGGGTGTGCTGATTATCTTTAATCACATACACTGGGCCATGAGTCCCAGTTGGTTTTCTGTGGCCTTTGGTTTTCACTTCTATTTTAACATTCATGTAATTTGTAAAGTGTTTAATGCAGTGTTGTTGAACACAAAATCTACTTGGGTTCCAATGGAATTGTGTTAAAAACTGTGGTGTCTGAAAACACAAGTGAGCACTGCATTAAAAACCCTAATCCAGTGAAGAAACCCTAATCCTTGCCCTAGCTTCAATTATGCTGGGACACATATTTTACCAACCTGTTGTGTAATCACCACTAAAATTATGCCTATTTTGTATCTGAAGCATCTGATATACTTCACAAAGTAAAAGACACTATAAAGTACATTGTCAGCCTCTATGCACTACAGCATGTGGCCAGATTCCCTGCAGCACATTTCTGTTTACCATCACCAGGAAGATGTGGAGTGTGTATTTCTATTCCAGCTAGTAAGAGAATATTAAATCTATAAGACATATACCCTGAATACATTTACTTTCTCATTTTACCCTGACAATAAATCTTGGTGGTCCTGTTGATTCATGATTGTAATCCTAGCACCTCAGGTAGCTTAAATTAGTGGAAGAGAAAGTTCAGTCCAGCCTACACAACTTAGTATGACCCTGTCTCAAAATATATCTTTAAGATCTGGGGTGCCTGCAGCTGCCTCCCCATGTGTCTGGAGGACTCCTCAGCAAGCAGGGGAGCATCGCAGGTTCCAGAGGCCCCACAGCCTGCGGTAAGTGCTCAGTGCACTCTGCCCAAAGCCCAGACTGTTTGGGACCCTACAGGCATCTGGGTGCAGTGAAGTGGATAAGTGGGTTTGAGGCATCTACATCTGCCTCCCCATTCTGGCTGTGCTTGGAGAACTGTGGAGTTTCCAGCAAGTAGGCAGGCACACACTATCCCCAGAGCCCAGCCTATTTGGGACTCCTGCACTTCACCATCAGTGTGCAGAGGAAGGGCTGGAGTGGATCTGGGGCACCTGCATCCACCTCCCCATGTGTCTGGAGGACTGTGGATATCTCAGCAAGCAGGGGAGCATCACAGGTTCCAGAGGCCCCACAGCCTGCGGTAAGTGCTCAGTGCACTCTGCCCAAAGCCCAGACTGTTTGGGACCCTCCAGGCTTCCGGGTGCAGTGAAGTAGATAAGTGGGTTTGAGGCATCTACATCTGCCTCCCCATTCTGGCTGTGCTTGGAGAACTATGGAGTTTCCAGCAAGTAGGCAGGTGCACACTATCCCCAGAGCCCAGCCTATTTGGGACTCCTGGACCTCACCATCTGTGAGCAGAGGAAGGGCTGGGCAGATCTTGGGCACCTGCATCTGCCTCCCCGTGTGTCTGGAGGACTGTGGATATCTCAGCAAGCAGGGGAGTATCGCAGGTTCCAGAGGCCCCACAGCCTGCGGTAAGTGCTCAGTGCACTTTGCCCAAAGCCCAGACTGTTCAGGACACTCCAGGCTTCCGGGTGCAGTGAAGTGGATAAGTGGGTTTGAGGCATCTACATCCGCCTCACCATTCCAGCTGCTCTTGGAGAACTGAGGAGCTTCCAACACGCAGGTGGGCACACAGTGTCCCTGAAGCCCAGCTTATCTGGAACTATGAAGTTCTGAACAGGCAGAAGAGGGCCATTGGTTCTACAGGCCCAGTGGCTTGGGGTAACTGGGTGCCAGAGTCTCAGGAACTGCGAACATAGAAGGGCATTTCCAACAGACCCTGAGGAAGCTTTCAAATAACACTTGAAACACAAATATAGGAAAATGACAAAACGAAAGACCAAATTACAACCTCAAACCTCCAGCCCATCTCAAGAAACACTTGGAGTGATGTATATAGAAGAAAATATATGCCATTCACCTCAAATATCAGACATAAGAGCTACTGAAATTAACAAGCAAATCCAGGAAGCTTTAAAGGAATTCAAACTTGAAATAATCTCCCAGATAAAAGAAGAAATGATAAAAGAAAGAGATTCTGAATATATGTAAAGAAAACACAGTTAAAAAATTGGAGGAACAAAACAAAAAGATAGAATCCCTAGATGAGCAATATAAGAAACAAAGAGAATACATAATGCAGATGCACAAAGATATACAGGAAATAAAAAACTCCACTGAAACTTGTAAAAACAGCCTCATTGAAAGTGAAAATAGAATTTCAGACCTTGAAGACAGGATTGCAGCTAGTGAACAGGAAAGGAAAGATCTTTTAAAAATAACAAGGAATCAGGGAACAACAATTGAACAACTGCAAGACGATGCAAAGAAAAATAACATACAAATGATAGGGATTAATGAAAAAGAAGGAGACAACATAAAGGATGTCAAGAGGATATTTAGAGAAGTAATAGCTGAAAATTTGCCCAGCATGAGATCAGAAACTGACATCAGGATCAGTGAAGCATAAAGAACTCCAAATAGTCATGACCAAAATAAAACTACACCCAGACATATAATAATCACCATTCCACAAGAATAGATTATTAAAAACTGTCAGAGAGAAAAGACAGGTCATTTATAGAGGAAAACCTATCAGAATCACAGTAGACTTCTCAGCACAAAAAATAAAGTCAAGATGAGTATGGAGTGAAGTATTCCAGATCCTAAAGCAAAATGTTTTCCAACCTAGACTGATGTATCCTGCAAAACTATCATTCAAAATTGCTGGGGAAATAATGATATTTTCATGACAAAGAACAGCTGAAGCACTTCATGAACACTAAACCAACCCTGCAAAAAATATTGAAAGACAGTTTAGATACACAAAGGAAAAAAAACACTAAGCAAAGCAGATAATTAAACAGAACAGAAAGATAAAGATGCAACAGCAGAGAGATAACATGTCAACAATAAACCAGCACTTAACAGTAATAAATATTAAGGTAACTTGTCTCAATGCACCAATCAAAAGAAACAGACAAGCAGAATGGATCAAGAAACAAAATCTAGGCTGGGCCCTCAAAGGAGCCAGAGGAGAAGTTCAGATTGCTTGCAGCCTTGGAAGAGACAATAACCTCCTGCTGTGGGCCAACTCTCAAGACAAAAGCCAAAGGAAATACAACCAAGTGCTAAGTACCAATAGTCCAAATAGTTCTCTGATCACCCCGAGGAACTCAAGAGTCACCACCCTAACCCCCTACAGGAAGAATGAATGCTGTTAAGCTTACCCACTTATTATGTGACTTGCTCTCCCATTTGTTCCTAATTTAATCAATTTTACCTGAGCAATTACCTTATTGGTTGACCACAGTTCTACCTCGCATTATGCTAACCTTGAAAATTGTAATTTCCCCCCTCCTTTGACCCATATAACCTCAAGTTTTACTCTATAAAATTTCCTCAAAAAGACAGAGTCTTTTGCAAAGTGTTCAGAACCCCTTCTCTCTCTCAAACAGAAGCTTTTTTCTCTCAATAAATATATTCCATTCTTAAACTCCATCTTTCCTAAAATTCATTCTTCAATTTTTGAGAACACAAACCCATAATGGTCAGGAGTTCCATTCCCCTATATCATTAACATGAGCCGAATTAAAGGGATAAGATTATAGTGTGTCCAAAAGATGAGAAGTATAAAACAAAAGACGCCTTTATTCTGAGAACATGGAGAGAAAAAACAAAAAACCCCCCAACCACTGAAGTCTGGTTTTTTCTCTGGCAGACACGTGGAGTGGGGGCATATAAGTAGCCTAGGTTTGGGGTGGTACTTAAGGGGCATTAGTGATGCACAGGTAGCCCACTGGCACTTGTTTGGCAACAGAGGTAAATTTCTTGGGGTGGGGAAGATACAGTCACAGGTAAATTCCTAGGGGTGGGGAAGATGGAGCTCCTTGGTTCCTCCTGAGGCTTTACTGGCTAGAGTGTGCTGTATGGGCCAAAACTCTTTCATTCCCATTTTGTGATTATTATTATGAAAAGGGGTGAAGATTTCTTTCTTTATTGCTTCCTGCTGGAAGGGGTCACTGTATTGGGGTCCAGGGGAGTCTATGCGATGACAGTTGATGCCCAGGTAGAAGCTGGTGCCAGGTGTTTTAGCCAGCACAACTTTATCATTGGTGAAGGCACGTATGTTAGACTGGAAAAACAGACAAAATGTTATGAGGAGGCATGGCACTATCATATTTAAGGACCTAGGTGAGGTAGAAGGGAAGGTGCCTTTGATTTAGATACATCATTATATCAGGACGACGTTGAGGTAGGATCACTGTCAAAAATAAGTGTGGGGTTAGGAGGAGTGAAGTTATGAGATGTGATTATTCCCCCATCTGAAAGGGTAAAAGTAAAGAGGGTAGGTGGGTAAAACTTGGCTCTGGTTCAGGTGTTGAACTGGAAAAAATAAGGGGAGCAGGGAAGGCGATGGCTGTACCAGTATGGGAAGATAAGAGCATAGGGTTTCAGAAATGTCACGTTTAACCAAACAGCTGAGGGTAGAAAGAACTAAGACAGTTGTCACATAGAACGTTATGAAGATGATCTTATGCA